TATTCTCGTGAAGTCGCCATATATTAACAGTAGCAGACCTAAAAGTAAATGGAGGCTGGTTACATTTTTAAAATTAGTGAGGTACAATGTCGACATTGGGAATGTTTTATCCACCTCTATATGTATTGAACTAACTATTATCTATAACGATCCTATAGATCCTCAAAGGAGCGTAGATGAGCAATGCAGGAGAAGGTCGACGTATAAGGCTGGCCGTAATGAGAGTATCATAGTTAGTATCTTACATGTCAACTAGAAAATTTTGATGAGTTGGCATAAAATTAAATGAAGAAAAAGAGGATTGAATATCATGATACCGTATCTTAACAAATAATATGCTACTATATGTCATACATGACAATACAAAAGGTCACCTAAGATGCTAATGCATGGACGGGAACTTATGGCTCTCGGGTGTAATTACACCCAACTTTCAAAAGAAAAATAGTAATTTGTAAGAAAGTTATAGATGTCTGAAAATTTTTGCGAACAAAGTAGATTTATTGTTGCATTCGTATAAAATCTTTCACGAAGAAATGACTTTCATGTTGTCACTAGATACGAGGTACTGTTCATGCTATATTCTCTGACAGTTTGTCATTTTTGTCAAAAATTTATCGAAAAATATTTCGTTACAGAATATTTTTGTACGACAGAAACGAGAGCTCAAGTTTGCTGGGAACAAGTTTTGGAACATTTTTTATTTTTATTTTTTTAAATAAAATCAGTTATCAGGTATAATTACCGCCATGTTCCAACGGGTATTTTCCCTAATACATGATACTCTGCATTACGGTGATAATATCATATACTAGTACATATGCATGAGACCTCTTCTAATGCAAAGGTGCTTAGATGAGGTGCTAAGTACATTAAATACCTTAGCAACTCAACTCTCCAATGCATAGGTGCTCAACTTGTTGTTGCTAAGCATATTTTATTTAATGAGTTAGCACCTAACGTCTTTTATGCATTGGTCAAATTGTTTCATTTAAGTGGTTTGCCTAGGTTCTCGTGCTTGGCATTGGTTCTTTCTGGGGTTACCAAAAGGCTCTTTCCCCTTCTTAAATATTGTGTCATGTCATTTTTTTCGCTTATGTGACATGCTTAGCACCTATCCACGGTGAAGCACCGGGAAAGGCCTGATGCCATGATATTTATGATAATACACACTACGGGCAGCCTGCTGGGGATCCGGCTTGCCTGCTCCCTCCCCATGCTCCCATCTGTGCTCCCACTTCATCCTACGGTTGTCTTTTTCTCTCTTTTTTTTCTAATCTAATCATCCCCCTGATTTTAAGGGGGTGGGGCCGGGTCTTATTTTGTTTCAATCAAATCAAGTCACGTACGCGGGAGCATAGATGGGCACACGCCGGAAAAGCAGGCAAGTCTCGTCCGCCTAGTGGAGTAGCAAATATATGATGCTCCCGATCCCCACCCGACATTAAAGCCCTGTCACTAGGGTGCCATTAATTTGCAGGAAAGGACGAGAACGAGTATTTAATATTTGCCTGATCGTAATGTTGCACGATGGATAAACAGCACCTGGAGCGACCACGAGGGCGTTTACCAAGTAGGAGCAACCAGTGCACAAAACAAACCTGATAAAGATCACGGATTCAAAACATATTTTCATTACAAGAAACACTTGACCGGTTGTCCATGAGAATTGCTACTCTCAGTACAATTGCATAATTTGGATTCTTTAATCTGCATGCATGATTCATGCATACTTAAGAATAACCCCATGCATTATTGATCATTTGATAGAGTACGTACATCAGACTGCATGCATCATGCGATCCAGCCCGGCCAGCCAGTCCTATATATACACGTAGCATCATCTATTTTACGATCGATCGATACACTTGGCAGAGAGCGAGATAGCTAGATCGGCTATCTCACTTCTCTGGTCTGGTCTCTGGTGTGGTGATGATCGATCGAGCATCACGTCCATTTACGTCCGTACGCCGCATGGGCCACCTCATCGATACCTTCTCTTTTTTTTTCAGCAAAAGTTGTATCAGCCAGTGGTTTTAATTGCACGCTGCCAACCGCGGTGGGCGTCTCCTTCATTATCTTTGTCTATTTATTTCATTGTCGCTCCACATTTAGCACCTGCCATCTTTTCTACTCCGTGTTCTATTCAGGTTCAGGTCACAAGCCGTAGATCTCCTTGGTTCTGTCCAGGTTTTGGAAATGAGGTGGTCACCTTGGTACTAAACATAACTTATCTAACATATTAAACATAGTATATCAACCATATTGCAAGTAAAACAAAAGAAACAAGATGGTCACAACATACGTTTGGATGAGAAGGTTATTGAAATATATTGCCCACCTCCCTCCATGAGTTCAGACTTTTGGATGAGTTGACTGGAACATGAATTCAATATGATATTAGAGCCAAGAGGTCTTGAGTTCAAGACCCTGCGAACATAGTATTAAATAAAAAAACGATTATGCGGCCTACATAGATCCCACGTTTAAGGACTAAATAAGCCTAAACGTGAGGGGTGTGTTGAAATATATTGCTCACCCCCCTCCATCAGTTCAAACTTTTGAATGAGTTAGCTGGAACATGATTAAATTCAATAAAGGTAACATTGGATGCCATCCATGGCGGTCTAGAGTCTAGACAAGATACAAAGAATAGTGATCGAGGTAATAATTGCTGCTCGGCAAACATATGATCACCTCTCGATTGATGTACGTGTGTGTGTGAGAGAGAGAGAGAGAGTGAGAGAAGCTTTGGTACACATACGTAAAGATTTCTACGTAACCTAGGCTGATTTGGTTGGAAGGGAAAAAAATGCCCAGGGCCACC